CCACCCCCCCCCCCCCCCGCCACTGTCAATAGGGCATTATACCATTACATTTTCAACAGAATTAACCTCCATAATTTCCAAATTTTCAAAGTGTCTTTTGCATCTGGAATGTATATTTGTCAAATATCTATAAGTCAGTTTTCGTGCCAAGGGCAACCAAATATATCAGACGAGTAATGATCTTTAATAGTAACACTATTTACATGTGGCAAGTTTGAGCATTTCTGTGAGTGACTCTTAAATCGTTCCCATGATGATATATATTCTTTTTACTTTTCAGTACCACAAAGCCATTTTTGCGAAAATATACGATCACTTTATCGCTATGGAAATAATTCCATGTCCACTAAATAATACTTAAATCTTAAACAAAAATAATGTCAATGATACAACCATGCCAAGACTTTTATAAATTATGTCATTTCAACAGAGATCAGTTTCTCTTATAAACTTTAATATATGTAACGAGGAATCATTGAAAATAGAAGCATTTATATAAAACAAAAAGGAATGTCTTGCATAAGTTAAACCGATAAGTTACAATGAAACCTGCATTAAACATGAGACGATAATGAGAGACAACATACTGACTAGCTCTTTAGATGAGGGAGGCAATAAATGCATTGATAGGTGGGGGTTTGTTACCAAATTTGATGTTACAGTTCAAATCTTCTTTGTCCTCATTCAAGAATACGATGAACACATTGAATATCAAATCATAAGTACATCTTGTGCCTTTAGATTTGTTGGAAAACTATATAAAGTTGCACAATTAATGTAAGAGCGAATTCGAAATCGAAAAACATACAAAACAATGATGGAAATGAAACACAATAACAAAACAAATTTTCAATCGATTTCGTTCGTGTTCGTTCGAGATTTTTACTATACCAATATTTATGTTATAAATAGAACGTGAACAAAACGAATATTAATATCACGAACTATACATAATGAAGTTATTAAAAATTTCAACCTTTAATATGCACTTTTATTTATACTTTTAACAAATTTAGAATTTTATATTTACATTTATATACAATTATCATAAATAGAAAAACATAACACAAAAATAATCTCACTCATATCAAAAAACAAGGCCACTTTTACATTTCACATTTTTTTGGCAAATTTAAATTCTTTAACAAAATTCATTTTGCATTTTGGCGTTATTAACCCAAGAACATTCATCACTTACGCATCATAACCAATTTTCATTTAATACATGAAGATAATAAGCGAGATATCACAACATAATCATAAGGGGCTGTCATTGGTCACTTGAATGGAGTTCAATCAAAAAACTTCAGATCTGAAAACTGTAACAATACTTAAGCTTATCCATGTTCATATTTAAATATTAGAACGCCTTGTTTATGTCGAAAATTGAGATTTCCCTCAGAAAGTGGTATCACAAAACACTTAAACTCAAGTCAAAGCAACCTTTAGCCCATTATAAATGTGTTTCCCATGAGTCTTGTTCAATATCCAACATTGTGGCTTTCCCATTTATTAATGGGCTATCGCGTTCTCCATTTACTCTTTTATTTTCTTCTCTTTTATTCTGGTTCTGAAAAAATCGGGTCATAACATTTTAATCAAATTCAATCTTTCGTTCCAGAATTATCCATTATGTAGCTACACTTTAAATCTATAATTTCGTGAATAATAATAATAATATCTAACTCTATATACAGGCTAAAAATATCATGGTATCTGGAATAAAGAGTGTTTTCAATGTTTTTGCACCGCCGAATATAGTTATGATTGTTTTTATCAAAACAACAGGAACGAAATTTTATTGAGTTTCATCAATATTTTCCAATAATTCAACAAAAGGTACAGTATTGTGTCAATAAACAAGTAACAACAAAAATTGTATCCAGTTGAATTCAATAAAGGGACAAATATACAAGCAATAAAAGTTATGTTCCCACAACCATTTTATTAAAAAGAAATAAAAGAAATCTGAAATTATCTAAGAGATATTTTGTTAGGTGTATTTTAAGTATAAACGATGCAAAAAGACAATCACCAATAAAAGTAGTTTTCATTTAATGAAAAAAAGGTGAACAACTAAATTGAAGGTGCAGATATTAAGAGTTACGTCGCTTGAATAAGGAAAGAGAGAACTATCAAAATTGTTAGAACTACATTGTACTTTCTTCATATACTTACATGCCTTACTTTCTCGATCATAATGTAGTAGTTTTGTTCTGAAGGGGGAAATTATAAAATCATGCAATAAAATAAACAAATAGACTTGGCCTTTCATTACAGCCTTTTCCTATAGGGTATATTTATTGTTTTTTATTGGTTTATCTTGTTCTCCAAATGCAACTAATAGAAACCTAAACCAAAAATATAAACAACCGAAGTAAAATTATAAACACCCAGGGAAGATCTCAGACCTTAAAAAGATAAATTTAACCAAACCTCCAATTTAAAAAGAAGCATATTAATGTAAGATTAGCATACTTACTGGATCACCATTAACATGGCCGGGGTTTGATTCGTTCAGAGCTATCTCTGACACCTCAGCTAAAGGCTGTTTTCGATTTTCAAAACTGTCCGATATTTCTAGTTTATTTTCATATGTAAAATCCCCACTTCCGGAGTTAGAACTAGCCCATGATCGTCTGTATCCAATATCATCGGGATCTTCTGGCATTCTATATTTTTGTCGGGTGTGTCGTCTTGAACACTGAAAATAATTAGCACAACTGTTATTTTACTTAGCATTTGTCCCGCCAATGATGTATTAAAGATTATCTTTAGTCACCTAAAATATTAATATTTAATATTTTGTCTGATCATTGTTGGTGCGCATGAAATCTTTTAGATACGAATATGTTAATGAAACTATGATTAACGTACCAGAACACACATCATAAAGACAAGGAACAATAATAATACAGCACCGCAAACAATAACTGCTATAGCCCAATGTGGTAACACGGTTGTTCCCGAATCTACTACAGGCGCTGGTGTAGTTGCTATTACAGGTTCTTTTTCTAAAATTGAAATTTGGAAAGTATTAGAGTTATTATTCTGAATAGGACGGTTTCGATTGTCGTTCTTGTGCAGTCATATATACATTAATTATGATATAATAAATGTAATACAAATATGTAGCTGCAAAGAAGTCATAATCTAGTGTATTGTTGTTTATATTTCGGGCATTTTATTGCTATTTTATGTCAAATGTCGGCTATAAGGTAAAATATCCATCCCATATCCTATATAAATGGAAGATATTTGGTAGTCGATGTCTGAACAAGCAATACGATTCATTTTTACATTTTCCAATAAGTATATCACACTAGGAATTATAATGAAGATACCTGTATGTATAATGGTGTCCTTGTTGACTGTATACTCCCCCAGTAAATTATTGTTGTTATCTAGATAAGATTTGAATTCTGATGTTATATTGACTGGTCCCACTTGGTTAGCATCTGTAAATCTTGCTGTATATTCCACCACAATACTCCCCTCACTGTTAATATAATTATTGGTTTTAATATTTAGCAAGAGTAAATCATCGCGACTAATTATCGCGACTCTCCGATAGGAATGCCGAGTCGACAAACCTCGCAGAGTGGCATCCTGAAAATATACCCCGCCTCATTTGCGACATCTGTCACAATACTTATAGTGGAGCTCTAAATGGTTTGGACTCATCAGCGTAAAGTTCATAGTTTGAGCAATGACGATGGGCAAACAATTAATTACCAACTAGCATGTATATTTACTATCAATCATACACCAACTTACCTAAATACAAAGTCATCGTTGATACCAACAAATGAATCTTTTAATATACTATTCTGGTACATATTTTTGAGCTAAAAAAAAGAAAAACCAAGAATGGTACATACAGAAACATTAGTCATCATTGTAGCACAAATCAGAAGCTGGCAGTCCTATTAATCCTTTCCTGAGTTTCGAACTAAATCAATATAGGCAGACCAACAAGAATACGATCAAATCACGCCTACCTGTGGTTTAAGTTTATCTTTCAAATCTTTGTAATCAGTTGATGAGGCGTTCTTTAATGATTCCGACCACACAGCACCACTAGTAATTTTGAAAGTACCAACAACATCCAAGTCGTTAATGACGGGCGGC